GATTAAATAATCAAATAGCACCAAAGCCTGTAAAGCCAGGGGAAAAAATACGCACAAGCTTAAATATGGCCACAAACCAAGGGTTTGTGCAAAATGAAAGTTTGATTTGGTGGAAATTTTCCTATAATGAATCCCTTTGCTTTCAAGTAGCTTTAGAGGTCCCCTGGCTAAACCCTATAAAATATAAGAAATAATTTTGGTCTGATGCAACTGGGTGCTTCAGCATCACCAGGGAATGCCAGATGGAGATCACCTGAGAGCCATCCCTTAAGGGTTTAAAGAAAGGCCAGGAAGCCACCAATGAGGGCTTCAGATCCTTGGCCCTTGGAAGCCTGGAGCACTGGAGCTGAATCTGCAGTAATGGTTATAAGGAATGACTCTGAAGGCCTTTGGGGTCTTTTGAGAAAGGCAACAAAGTCTAAATGTGACAAATATCAGGGCGGTAACATACAGTGACATTAATAAAGTTTGGGGAGGGAATACTTGATAGTTCATAAGTTATAAATCTAACATTAAGAAGATATTTGCATTAGTTATGCTTTTACTACCACCAAAGTACATCCCATCCTTTTTTATTTTGGGTACTGAGGATTGAAACCAGGGGTGCTATAAAGCTCTAAAGCACTGAGCCACATCCCCAACCCTTTAAATTTTTTAATTTTGAGACAGGATCTCGATAAGTTGCTAGGGTCTTGCTATATTGCTTAGTGCCTCATTGAGGCTGGACTCCAACTTGTAATCCTCCTACCTAGCCTCCTGAGTCACTGGGATGACTGCACCAAGCATCCAATCTTTCATTTTAATGAAGTATTACATACATTACATCAAGAGCCTGATGCATAACTCAGATGCTTGGTGATGGCTCTGGGATATTGGTTGGCCAACTGTGAAACAACATTCAAGAGGCCATTCTCCACGGGTGGCAGCTGATCGTGGTTACATACATAGGAAGAAATCCTGAGACTTCACAGAAAATGTTAAACCCAGACCATGAAAGCAGGAAATTGCCCCAATGGTTCAGTGCATTGGGGAGGTTTTCAGCTTCTGTGAGTGTGGGCTTGTGGTGGTGCTGGTGGGATGGGCACCTGCCTTCCTGGTAGACAGGGCCACCCTGTTTTCTCTGAAGGAGGTTGTGGCACCACTACCAGCCGTCAGGGAGGTTCATTTTTGGAGGATCCCTTTCTGGTGCGTAATCAGAGTTTTCCAAAAGGTGAAGAGTTCATTACCTTGTGCTGTCAGGACTGGTGAGTTGATAATGGAATGTCAGGATGTGGGTGTGGAGGCTGCTTTCTTAGGCCTGGCCTGGGAAAGCCAGCTCTGTATCTCCACTCCTTTGGCCTCTTGGGCAAAGGGCCTCCTCCTCTGAAGCTTGTGGTGTCTGTCTCTGCCACCCTTAGGGCTCTTTATCATTATCACCACTAGCTGCCCAGAGACCCCCAGCACTCCAGCTGCCTCAGTGTGGGGCAGCACATGCCCCACCTTTCTGTGCTCTCACTGCCTCTTTGCCCAGAACCTTCCTTCCCCCACTCCACCAGACCTCAGCCACTTCCCACTATTTGACCACAACTTCCTCTTTTCCAGCCTTCCCAGACTCCCACTAAATTAGAACTATTCCTTGACCACATTGCCACTTGCACTTTCTGGCCACCTCTTATTTTCTCTCACATGATTAGCTCTTGCTCCTTCCTGGCTCCTGGCTTCTCCTGAATCCTCTAGAGCTGGATCTCTAGCTTAGCCTCTTCTGCTGCACTCTCTGCAACACCCCAATCACCATGTCTGCATCTATCCCTAGTACCCACCCTGCCCGACCCCAACTCCAAGACTGTGACGTCTATAGCCACTAGTGCTGGAGGGCAATAGTCCATGGTGCAGACTGGTGCCACCTAACATCTGTGGTACATAATGTAAGGGAGTTCTGAAGTTCCTACACCTCTTTCTTCAGTTCGTTTCCTTTGATTCAACCTAGGGGCATCCCAAATTTTTCTTTCAGCATACTCTTAGACATTTGACTGATTTATTGCATATGGTCTCACTTTCTAATTAACCAAGGAAGTAGAAACCATCAGAATTAACTCTTTAAACTTTTGATACATCCACTAGGTTCACATTTGGCTGTCTCTGCATTTCTTTCCTCTGTCTCAAAGAATGAGTGGTCCTCTTGGCGGACCTGGAGCTATCTCTCATGTTTCCCAATCCTCTGGACCCATCTCTTCCTAGTCTTATCCAGACTCTTCCAGGATATTCTCACTCTTTCTTCTTCTCATATAGATATGTTCATGGGCTTCCCACCCTAAAAAAAATACTTCCTCACGTCCCACACGCCCTCTTCCTTTTTTACCCATATCCAACTACTCAAAAAGTCATCTCCATTCATTTTCTTATCTGACAATCAGTCGTCAGCCCACTGAAATCTGGCTTCTGTCACACCAGTCTCTGTGACTTCCAGGAGGAGGGAAACAACTAGTGCCAATAGAGCCATGTCCAGCATGTCATAACCCCAAAGGCCTCAGGATGTGGTGAAGGAGGCTGACAGCATTCCTGGCCCTGGGAGGTGGGATCCTGGAGTGTGTGTGTGAATGCAAGTTATGTGTGTGTGCATATGCATGGGTGTGCATGTGCATGCATGGGAGACCAGGCAGCAGTGTCAGCTTCACATCTACTACTTTGTTCCACCTGAGGCTTGCTGTAATGGAAGATAGAAACACCAAACTTGCACTATTTAGCTCAAAGTGACTACTGTCCACATTTCTCAAATAAAAGATTGAAATTGAGACGCAAGGTCTGATGATAGGCAGAACACTTGAACTTGGGATCACCTTCAAGAAATGCAAGGAAAGTTGACTGTACACACGTCAGGAGATAAAAATCATGGCACAGCACTCTTTCTAGATTTGGAGTCAACAAATTTCAGTGGGTACTGGCTCGTATCTCAGCCTCCATCTCTTCCAGGCCTTACCTCAGGGGTTTCTCTTGACTGACTACTAGTAGAGGAGGAGGAAACAGGAGTGGCCCCAGGGTGTGTCTCACCAGGGCCTGGGCCTGCCTCACCATGACCCACAGGAAATGGTCTGAAGCAGGCTATCATCTTCCCCTGGATAGCAGCTACTTGCAAAGTGGAGGGAGTGGAGAGTAGATTCAGTCATCTTATCAGCTCTGAGCAGTTCAGATGCACCCACAGGTGCCCCTGCTGTGTAGAGGAAGTGGACTCTGGGGTCCTAAATATTCAGCCCTATAAGTACAATGAATAAATATTCAGCCCTATAAGTTCCTATAAGTTGGAAGCAAATCCTGGCTTCCTGTCTTACTTTTAACATAATAGAAGAAAGGACGAAGTTCCTAGAAGCCTAGGTGTAAATCCCAGCTAAATTCTAATGCACTGGGTGGCTCACAGAGTTACTTAGTCCATGGCTTCTGTTTCTTAGCACTGGAGCCCAAGACAATGCACTCTTTGTCTCCAGCTCTGTTACTTCATCAGTGATACTCATCTTCAATGTTACACAAATGTTGCTCCTCATCTCCTTCCTTTTAATATTCTGAGACCCCAGAGTTATCATTTCCTGAGGTAAACATGCTGTAGAATGTAATCACAAGGGGAATTTTGACACAGAGGAATCAAAATCATTGTTTCCTTGTACAAAGAGGATGTGTATGGCCAGAGTGAACTGGAGCAGGGAGATGGGTGTCCTTATTCCCAAGGCCAGCTCCTTTTCAGGAAGAAAACACCCCCTGCTTCTAGAACACAACCTAGAAAATGGGGATAAGTGCAAGCTGGGCTTCTGTCTGCACTGATGGGTTGAAACTCATGCCTTGTTTCAACTGGAAACTCTAAGACTGTTCGTGATCGAAATGTTTTCCATTTTCTTTTTACTGTTTCACCCCAAGCAGAAACTAGGAAATGGAAGGACATGTTCTTGGAGAAGAATGTTTATGGGATAGAAAGAATTTTACTATGGACTTCAAGATTCTGGTAATCCCTGAAATGTAATGAGGCAGGCATCCCTCTCTGAGTTGTGAGAAAAATGCTAAATTCACAGCTATGACCATTTTGGGTCCTGGATAAAAGGAACCATAACCAAAAAATAACCACCACAGGGAAGAGCAAACAGGTAGTTCAGTTGACCAGGAGTCGGGGGAGAGGGGGGATGATACAGACATCATTCTTCTCAAAACTGTTTTGAACAGCTGAGGCTGTAGACCAAATGATGGGCCACAGAAGCAGGAGAAAAGCAACCACCAAATATGGCAAGTTTTCAAGTTCACCAACAACCAAGAATTAGGGAGGCTGGAGGCTTGGGTGACAGAGAGGAACATCAAGGCAAGACTGTCCACAATTAAACTGGGCAAAGATGGGAACTATGCTTAGAATGACAGAATGGCTGGTGTCTTCCTCTCCACACTGCCACGTTTCCTACCATGCCTCAAACAGAATACACCAAAGGGGGAAATGTGGTGCAACAGGGCTGGGTCTGCCTTATCCTTTGTGTACCTAACAGTTACATTACCACAAGCACCTGTGATCCAGGGTCCTTTCTACCAGGTATTCTGTACTCAGGACAGTCCCATAGAGCCCAGCACATGGCCAGTGAGTGATGGCTCTAAGGAAACCCAAACCAAGTTTTACAAGCATCTAGAACAGAGCCACCCATGTTTCTCCTTATTTTCTGTAGTAGAAAAAGAAGACTCATCATAGCAGTTCTTTTCCAAATGAACTTTAGGTCTTTTAAAAAGGAGTTAATTAAAGTTACTAGTTATTGTTCCACTAAAAAAGCAAATGGGATTAAGAATATCTAATTTAACTTCTAATCATCTAGGCTGGGGTACAGTAAGGCTGCTCATAGCTAGCTGCCACTAGGCCAAACCCTGGCCCAGAAGGAGGTATAAGCAAGAAGGCCAAAGTGCAGGGAAATGGCTTTTCAATGGCAAAAGACATTAAATCCTTGTGTGCCCAGGAAGGTGACTGCTGGCTATTGTCTTCTTTAAAGAAAGTAAAATAAACTTACCTTGAAAATTTACTGGGACCTTCACCATCTTCATCATCGAAGTCCATTCTGCAAAGTCAAGGTCACAATAAACGCTGGTTATAGGCAGGGCACTGAAACTGGTAACCTGAGCTGTGGGAATGAGGGGCACTTTTTTCCTTCAGACTGCTCTCCAATGCTCCCAATCTTTTGTAAGGCTAAAAGCAATATCTCTACACAGTCATCAAAGAGCTTCAAGATAGGAAGAAGCAAAATGAAAGGTCTTGGGTGCTCAAGTATCAACTTGCCCCTGTGGAATCCCTAACAGGCCACCAAAGGGTTGACTAGGCTGGTGTTGGAAAGGGAGACATTCCTTATCTCCCTTTGGGGAAACCTTTGAGGAAACCTCCTCCCCTCCATGTCTTTCATTCCACCTTGTCACTTCCTTTTTTTTACTTGTTTATTTTATGGTATGTTAACAGACTGAAAAAGCTCAAGGGGTTTTGAAAATAGAAAATTTTAAGGGTGATAAAAGGATTAACAGAAAAGGAGACAAATAGTAATTGTGCTGCTTGAAACCTGGTAGGTCTTGAGACATGGTAAGACTTGGTGGAAAGCTCAATCAAGGCCATTGTCCTGTTAAGTCCAAAGTCTAACAAATGGCTGTTGAAGGGAAAATGGTCATGTGAGGCCTGAATTAACTCAAATTGGCTGTCTGCTTATTGTAACTCACCACATAATTACTGGGATTCCCTCTTTACTGGGCCTCACAACATACATAAAACAAAGTCTTGATGGATACTTGCTTGACTAATACCCCAAATGCCCCTTTGAGACACCTGGGTAAAACATGTTCCCCTCCTGTTCTTAGTAGGCCTGATTGATGGGGCTCTGTTTTGCTGGAATCCAAGCAAAGGGAGGCCATCCTATCTGGCAGCCAGGACTGGAAAATTCCTTGTCAGAACAGCTCATTGTAAGATTGAGGTGTATGCTAAAAGACCACAACTACAGATGCCAGAGCTGCTGGCCCCACAGAAGCATGACCATACCTCCCTGAGTCTAAAAGCCCAGAGTAGCCAATGGGTGACTTGGGGATAGCACAGGACATGAGACAAATCGTACTCCCTGTGCTATAAAAAATCTTTTTTTTTTTTTTTAAATGCCCAGGGCAGTCAGAGTTCTAATTTGGGCATCATTTTGTTCAGAATCAACTGATTTGATCCTCTGCCAATTTGGAATCCCTGTCTCAGATCCAAGAGCTATCCTAACTGCTAAGAATAAAAGAACAAAAGGAGTTAGATAATTGTAAAAATGACAGTAATAACAGGAAAAAAAACTGCAAAAAGAGAAGGAGGTGAACAAGAAAAGTGATACAAAATAGTACAGGTAAAAGACCACATACACACCACCAGGGGGCCAGACACACACACTCCCTACAAAGCAGTTTGGGAAGCCAGGTGCTAAGCATTGGCTTCAGTTGTCTAGATTGTAGACAAATGAGAGCTGAATGCATGAATTTCTAAATGAAGCAAAGCCATCAATATTCTTCATAACTGGTAAGCCATCATCTCACCTTTCAGAAAATTAAATCTGGGAGACAACCACCAAGAATACTGAAACCATATCCACAGGACATTTTACTGAGCCACAGGGCCACACTGCCACCCAGTGTTCATAATGGGGAAGAGCAATTTTGCTGCCCACATCAAAAACATCAGCATTAAGGGGCAGGGGCAGGGGCAGGGGCAGGGGATGAGGTGGGTGGGTGGTGGAAAGTAGCACTTTCAAAATTATAAAGAACTCATGCAAGTATTTAATAAAACCTCAAGTTATCTTTAAAATTCCTTTTGGCTTAAGTTGATATGAATGTGATCTTCAGGCTCTGCATAATGCAATGTATTTGGCAGTCCTCCCTCCTCAGGCTACAAATCTTTGGGATATTTAGAGTGATCAAATGTTTTGATTTTCCAGGAATTCATGGGATTCAGACTTTAGTGATAAAACTGAAAGAGTTCTGGGACAATGAGGATGACCAGTCACCTCATTTTAGCAAAGACAGTCCTATTCTTTTCTTGATCTTCCAGGAAGCAGACATGGCAAGTGAACTGTGTGGGTCCCAGCTTGGCCAAGCTGGCTGGGGCTCAATCAAGCAGAGGGGATAAAAGAGAAAGAGATGGACCTAGGAGGGCACAGTGGTGCATACTTGTAGCCCCAGTGACTCAGGGGGCTGAGTAAGGAAGACTGCAAGTTCGAGACCAGACTGGGCACATAAGGAGACCCTGTCTCAAAATAAATATTAAATAGAGCTGCGAATGGAGCTGAGTAGAAAATAATCCCTGGGTTCAAACCCAGTACCAAATTAAAAAAAAAAAAGAAAAACACAGAAAAGAAAGAAAAAGAACAAGGAAAACAAAATGGAATGGCCCTGATCTGGGCCCTGGAGTTTTCTGAAGTCCACTGGGAACTTGGGAACCAGGATTTGCCTACGAAAAATTAGAAACCAAGAAACTGTGCCTCCTACCTGTGCATGTATGCAATCACAGTGTGCAGCAATCAGATTTAGGAATTTAGAAAAGTGTAAAGACGGAGATCCAACACAGAGATAAATTCAGACCCATATGATCATTCAAATTCTCAGGAAAATTCACCCTACCTGAAACAGTATTTCCTGCTTATCGGCAACACAGACAAAAAATTGCAACCATCCTAAGGACACAAAGGGTCTCTCAGAGCAACACTTGCTGGTATCTTCTGTCACCACTTCCAATTCTCTACTTTAAATATAACTACAATAAACTACACTTATTTCTTCTGCTATAAAAAGCCTAAGTAAATCATCCTTTGTTTTATGTCTTTTATGCCTCTGTATTATACTGAAGCATCTGGATAATAAAAGAGAGAAATCAAAATATGACTTTTAAGCCCTATTGTATTCACTTTAAAGAGTTCAACACAATGAGTGGATGATAAGAGTATTCAAAAGGTGAGCTGAAAATGTACCTGACTTCACTTCCCTGTCAAGGAGCCTAAATTTTTATCTCCATAACAAGTTAGGATATCACTTCTGAATATGCCATTAATTAGGAGGGAGTGATGTGAATCTCCCTCCTTAACTGGGGCTGTGTAATAATAATGCATCATCCAATATGAGTCATCAAATAGAATTCACTTATGCTCTAATGAGAAAGATAAAAGGTCATGTCAACAGCGGTAGCAAAGGAGCATCCTGGGCCAGCCCAAAGATCCTGCTAAAGACAGGTGCTAGAAAACACTCTACAACAGCAATGCTGGTTTATTAGTGCTAACCAAGTGACACAACTGCCTATGTAAACATGCCTTTAATTTGAACACATTTTCATAGCTCATGGGGTTATTCAGGAGACCTTGGTGTATTGGCTGGATGCAATATGAATAATTTTCCTTCAGTGTTGATATTTTAGAAGCCTAACACTGGATTCCAACAGAGAGAGACAGGACTGATATTCTCTGTCCTCAACTTCCACACTCCATCCCCATCAATGTCTAGCCTGGGCATAGGCACAGACCCTTACCCAATCATGGCTGCTCCCCCTAATATTAGAAACACTGCCTCTGCTCTGCTAAAGTCCCTGCTCCTGGCCATCCTCTCTGAGATCAGGGAGGTCACTGCAGAAATTCATTTCAGGTAACCAATTTCAGCTCATCTCTCCCACTAATGTGCAACCACACTAGAAGGAATCTGAAATTTCTGAAACTTCACCTTGTGTCCCAACTTCCAGGACAGCATCCAGCCTGCTGGGACACTTCCTATGCAGGGCTGTCAGGGAAGCAGAAGAAAGTTCATCCAGGAAGGACCCACAGTGCTGGCCTAGCCATGCAGCCAGGAAGGTCCATAACCCTCAAATCATCAGTTCCACTTGGCTGCAAGACTGAGATATAGTGAGCTGGGTGATTCTCCTGAAAATTTGGGACATTTCTTTCAACCAGAGTAATCAGGTCAGAGTGGGAGATCTCATAAGAATCTCTCCCATCACCTCCATTTCTCTTTCTTCTTCTCCCTCTCTCCTTGTACCTCTCCAAGTGTGTTCCACAATCTCAGGGAGAGGAAGACGCCAGTGATAGGGAGAGTAGCAACAAATGTGGACCTTAGAGCAGAGCCCCACTGTGGCATCATCTGCTTTTTGATGAATGTGGCTTCTACCTGGATCTCCTTTGCACTGAGCTAATAAGTGGGTTTGGTTGAAGGGACTGTTATCAAAGCTTCCAGAGCCATGGTGGCTTCAATTACAGAATTTCAACAAAACATGTATAAAAATGTCAGATGCAAGAATTACTATGGAAACAGCTCTATAAAAACAGAGGTTCCTTTGCTAAAACACAGGATAAATCACTAAATCATGGAGCTTAGCAAATGGAATGAATCTTCGTTTGCTTGCTCTTTCAATCTGATGGGGAGGAAGAAGGACCCTAAAAATGAGGACAACATTGGACAGGCTCTAGGGGAAGGTTAAGTTGCCTTTAAGAGGCTGTGCCCCCTCCTTGTCACTGGATGTGGTATCAGCAGGTGCTCCCATCCTCTGCAGACTCTTGATTCTTCTCTTGATGGTGTGTGTGTGTGTGTGTGTGTGTGTGTGTGTGTACACATGCATCTAAGAGAGAAGGAGAAAGAGACCCAGAAGGAAAAGGAACAGCTCTGAGGAATTCTTTAAAAATGGGACTGAGTCCCTGGTCAAATCATTAGCTCAGGGAACAACCAGAAATCAGGGTATGGATGCTGGACTCAGGTCAGGAACGTGGAGGCCCAGGAGGAACACAGCTTTGGCTTATTTCAGCCCAGTCCCTGAAGGAGCTGGCAGAAAGTCCCAGCAGAGGGAGGCTCAAAGACACCCTCCCACCCTCAAGCACAGAGAGAGGGCTCTTAGTTCTGAAAATATTGGGTTGCACCAGAGCATCTTTGCCTAGACTTAGGCCTGACCCGGCCTACTTCCTTCAACAGAGCCCTGGGCTAGCCTTTTCTAAAAAAGGACTTGGGTGATGGATAAAGCTTTTTCTATAGAATGCAGTTAGAGCCCATAAACATTTAAAATAATTTTTATAAGACCTGGTGTTTTTTAAAAATCAATTAAAAATCTATATAATTGGGGCTGTGTTTGTGGCTCAGCAGTAGCACACTTGCCTGAAATGTGTGAGGCACTGCATTTGATTCTCAGCACTGCATATAAATAAATTAAAAATAAATAAATAAATAAAGGTCTGTCAACCATTAAAAAATAAATTTATATGATCTATATACTGATACCACACATGAACATTCTTTTAGCAACCCAGACTCTGCTGAGCTTAGCACCTTGTTAGCAAGAATGGCTGGTTAAAATAGGAAGGTTGCTTTGCAGTGAGCCCCAGAGGCAAGCCATATCATTTATTACAGAGCTGATCTGAGGAGTTTTGCCTAGGGGCACCAACATTTCTTATCCCAGTTTTGCAAGTCCCTCTGCCAAAATAACAAAACTGAAAATGCAAAACTGGCTACATCAGCACCAAAAGTGAGCATGCTAAAGCAAGGTGAAGGTAGCCTAACTCTGAGTTCCAGTTCTTAGTCCTTTAAACCTTCTTAACAATCATGAAAATCTCAGGCCCCACCTTCAGACTATACCACACACACAATAGTCTATTTTACATTCTGAAATTATAGAGCTGAATATCTTTTTCTTCTTAGGCCCACTCAATCCCAGATGCTAATACACATCTATCTCTTGTCCCTGTCCCCTTTAAGAATCACACTGGTTTAAAGCAAACTCTCAGAATTAAATTATATCCCATCTGATTCAAATGTATGATATGTCAAGATTATTGTACTGTCATGTGTAAATAATTAAAACAAAAAATTTTTTAAAAATTAATTATAAAATTTTTTAAAATGTTGGACCATTAAAAAATAGGTCCACCCCATAGGTGTTGGGCTATCAGAAGCATATTCTGCAGTAATAGTACAGTTGCTTTCTAGGGGAGCCCATGTATTATCAGAAGTTGCATTAAAAGTAAAAGTTGCTTTGACTTTGTGAGAAACCTTGTTGGTCTAATATTTTACTGAAAATAAAATAGATTCGGTGCTGGAAAGGGGTTAAGTGATAACTGAGTCTGAAATGTCAGTAATGTTTTTTCTATAGAGTTGTGGTTGGTTGTTTGCTCTAATTCAGTATGAGTAGTTGCAGTTTTGATCCTATCTGCTCAAAAGTGCTGGTCTTTCTGTCTCTCTCAGAACTGGCATAGTTAATAGCACTATTATTGTTCTCAACTTTATTAGCCAGTAATAGTATGTGATTCAAGCTGTCTAGACTTCAGACACAGACTTTAGCCAGTTATTCCGAAAAGAATTCTGTACATTGCCCACAAAAGATGGGCAGCAGAGAAAATGATGGAGGGCTCCAGGGTGATACTTTGCAGCCCATAGGGCCTGGAACTCAGCTAACAAATCTGGCCTCAGAGCTTGTGGGGCAGGGGGGAACTTATGGTGGTGAAGAGCAAGCCTCCTTGCCTGAAGAAGTCACAAGCAGGGTCACTAAGCACATTCCCACCACAAGGATAAGCAAACAGAAGTCCCCAGCTGGGTGCCAAGGCCCAAAACACTTAGAAGCAAATCATGTGCATATTTAGGAATCTTGCAAAATCTAAACAGGATGTGAGCTGCTGAGTTCTTATTCTACAGGAGGGGAAAAAACAATACTTTCCCAACAGGTCAAGATCATTGCTCAACATTTATTATGTCCAATTCCTGGAAATGCGGAGGCTGCTTACCCAGAACGCCGCTTTCCTCCACGGGCAGGCATGGCTCCTGCCATCCTCACCTGTCCAGTGGCCGCCATTGGGGCAACAGGCAATGTCACCGATCCAGGTATGTCTGAAGCCATTTCTAAAATTCAACAAAGACAAGAGGTTTTTGTCAACTCCAGGAAAACCCAGTATCAAGCAAGAAAAGCTGCCGAAAATTCCCAGCAGTACCACCTGGAAGACAGTTCAGGAGCTGGGTGCTGCAGTCACTCTACCCATCACAACTTATGTGACTCAGTGAGTCCTTCCTCCCTGTCTGGGTTCTGCCTTTTTCCCCTGGGCTATACTCTCAAACAGTACTTGAATCAGTCATACAAGTGCTGGCGAAGATGTGGGAGAAAAAAGGTACACTCATACACTGCTGGTGGGACTGCAAATTGGTGCAGCCAATTTGGAAAGCAGTATGGAGATTCCTTGGAAAACTGGGAATGGAACCACCATTTGACCCAGCTATTCCTCTTCACAGACTACACTCAAAAGACTAAAAATGGCATACTACAGGGACACAGCCACATCAATGTTTATAGCAGCACAATTCACATAGCTAGACTGTGGAGCCAACCTAGATATCCTTCAATGGATGAATGGATAAAAAAAAATGTGGCATTTATACATAATGGAATATTACTCAGCACTAAAAAGTAACAAGATCATAACATTTGCAGGGAAATGGATGGAATTAGAGCGGATTATGCTAAGTGAAGTTAGCCAATTCCAAAAAAAACAAATGCTGAATGTCTTCTCTGATATAAGGGAGGTGACCCAAAAATGGGGTAGGGAGGAAGAGCATGAGAAGAAAATTACCTCTAGATAGGAAAGAGAGGTGGGAGGGAAAGGGAGGGAGAAGGGGAGTTGCACGGAAGATGGAAGGAGACCCTCATCATTATACAGATTACATGTATGACCATGTGAGGGGGAAAAAAAAAGAAGTGTGTCACCTTAGATTGGGTAGAGAGAAGTGAGGGGAGGGGAGGGAGGGGGGGGATAGGAAGGACAGAAGAATAAAATAGACACTACTATTGCTGTATGCATATACGTGACTATATGACCAATGTGATTCAGCAACCTGTACACTCAGAAAAAGGAGTAATTATACCCCATTTGATTCAAATGTTTGATATATCAAGATCACTGTACTGTCATGTGTAACTAATTAAAGCTAATAATAATAATAATAATAATAATAATAATAATAATAATAATAATAATAATAATTTTATGAAGCTGGCACACACCTGTAATCCAAACAACTCTGGAGGTTGAGATAAGAAGATAGTAAGTTCAAGGCCAGCCTCAACAACTTAGTAAGACCCTCAATAACTTAACAAAACCCTGTTTCAAAGTAAAAAATTAAAAGGGCTGAAGATGTAGCTCAATGGTAAAGCATCACTGGGTTCAGTACCCCCCAAAAAAAATTTAAATAAAGAATTGGTGCAGCTTAGCTGCTATCATAAGAGTCTCCTGGTCACCTAGAGATAGGAGGTTTGATGTCTAGGAATCCAGACAGCATGGAGCCTGAGGGGAGGGGGCTGCAGCTGGTACCAATGACTGGCCCCCTTGATGGGGCAAACTCCCTGAAAGTCAGTATCCTGCCACAGCAACTGCTGGTGCTCTCTAACGCTTGCCCTGGAGATTGTGCTCAAGCAGAAGGCTGGTCCCCACCCTCAGTCTGGACTCAGAACTCCCAAGTGTGGGAGCCCTGCCTGGCCGCTTTGTGCATGGGGCATTAAAAGTATCATGTCACGCTGCACAATGAGCCAGTAATGGCACCAGGATAATGTGCCCTGGCTCTCCTGAGCCAGGCCTTGGTGGGAAAAATATTAAAAAATAAGAATAATGGACACTGGACAAGGGTACATGTCCTGTACAGGTTAACATTCATTTCTCATAAGCCAGACACTCTGCAAGCTTCTTGGAACCATGGTGAGCTTTCTTGATTTTGAAGATTCTCCTTCCTACTTTCTGGAGAATTCCTAAATTTAGGCAACCCTTTTCTCAGATCATTCCATGACAAGATAAACACTTTAAGCAGCTTCTCTGATTCTGTTCATTGTTCATGGAAATGACTTCCACAGTGTTCACTTTTCTTAGCTTAATTCTTACTGGGGATAGAAGGGAAGCAACAGTCTATAAAAATATATTTCAATAAAACATTTCAAGATAACAGCAGGAACTTGGGCCCCTGTTAGTAGAGAAGGAATGTCCAGTATGTTGAAAGTGGACACTTGGTGTAGTTATTGCTGTCTCCTTCCAGCAGAAACAGGGAGTCACATGACAGTGGCCTCACAGTCAGGTCCAAAGACATTGTGTTTAATAAACACATTTGAAGGTCAACTTGAACTATTCCACTCAAACACTCAAATCTCTTTTTTCTTTTTTTTTTTTTTTTCTCTCCAGTCCTGGGATCAAACCTAGGCAAGTGCTCACCACTGAACCGCACCACTAGCCTTTTTTTTTTTTATTGTTGGTTGTTCAAAGCATTACATAGTTCTTGATATATCATATTTCACACTTTGATTCAAGTGGGTTAT